AGTAGGGATTGTCATGAGAGCTCTATTGGCATCTTCTAGCATACTATGTGATGGTACTTCTCCACTGAGCCTTGGTAATCAATCTCAAGGGTTGACTATAGCTAGCTTATCCATGATCTTATGCTTCATATCAGCTGCTGTGCTCTGTTATGGAGGGGGTTAGCAATAATATTCCAGCTTCAGGTGTTGGCTGCACATCCAGTTTTTCTTCTGGGTCTTCTTGAGTCTGGGATGTAATGTGTAGTTGGTCTATCTCAAGTTGTGAGAGCAACTTCCTCTTCACTACGTTGAAGCATTGGGTAACTAGCTGTTTCTCAGTTAGTGTGGATATAGGTCTTCTGTCCATCCATAATTCCCTCATATGTTTCATATAGTCCCTCTATTGTTGTAGCAGCATTTCATTTCCAGGTTCTCTTGTCTTGTCCATGTATGGTTTGTTCCAGTAGCCCACTTATCATCAGATTGTCCTAGTTCCCCAACATCTGGTGCAGACCTTGTTAATCCAGGCGACGTCCGAGCCAGCATGACTCTCTTAGTTTGTGTCACTCTCATATTTGAGGTCGGCAGGTGAAGCATTAGGGCATCTTTGTCCAAGGACCCCTACTGATAAGGTAGATACCAGCTGGGATTCAAACCCCAGTCTCCTGCGTCAAAGGGCGGTGCTCTAACCATTACGCTATCCAGTCGCTCGCTATGAATTATTATAAGGTAAACTTCCTCAGCAGGCTTTCACAGCTAAAGACTGATATTGAGCAGTGAAATACGGTAAGGGTTGACTCTTCCAAGAAAGAGCATGCTTAGCATTCAGACCCTCTCCATTAAGTTTCATGGGAAAGACATCCAAAAAAATGAGGACAGCCCTTAACAAACTTTTTAATGTATATTAAGACCTGCACCATCTATAGAAATTGTTAGTGACTAGCCTTTCCTCACATACTCATTTTAAATTTTTGTTTTTTAGCCCCAAAGGAAAAAGAACTTGAGACTCAGTAATCTTATCCTTCATAATAGTTTCTTTTTCACATATACAGTAGATGGTGTTAACAAGTCAGAGAATTTAGGATCAAGCTACAAGTTTCCTTTTTAACAATTGTTAATAGTACAAACTGGAACAATCATGTGGTTCCCAGTCTGATTCAAACAATATCCCTTATATTTCACAGCAATAATATTAAAAGCGCTTGTCCTAGTTTTATTATCAGCAACTGTAAATAAAGCCATTTCATAACATATAATATGTTTAACTATTGTTTAAGTAAAAAGTATTTTTTAAAGAAATCTAAATCACAAAATGCAATAGATAATGAATATTTTACCTTGTAAACTTCTGGTAGAGTGCAAACAGTGTGTCATATTTTTTTTTCAGGCGTGATATAGTACAGTCCATTTTAGTACTAATTGTATCCATGTTGACATCAACTTCTTTAATCAAGTGCACAAATTTGCATACACTAAGAAAAATACAAAAGGGAACAACCTAACTATTCATTTCTACCATTTACTAAATCAAGAGTGTAATAATACTTTCCCATTCCCATGAAATTATATCTCCATATCATAACAGTGATTTTGTTCTCATATCTGATGTTTTCTATTAGTATAATATCAGTCTCATGTCTGAAGTTTTCTTGCCCTAACAAATACAATTATATTATAAATCTCAAAAACAAACATGCTACTTGAACATCACAGTTCTTCATCCAAGATAATTGCATAAAAACTAAGAGTAATTTATTAAAGCAGTTGGTAATACCAAGCCAAAAAATCTAAGTATTTGGCTAATACTTGGATGGCAACGACCAAGAAATCTCAGAGCCATAGGCTGAACTTTGAAGTCAAAAATCATCCCAGAAGATCAAAAGAAGCAGTGGCAGTCCACTGGTGCCAAGCAAACTGCTTGATCATATCCACGTACACACCAGGAACTCAGGGACAAGTATCTCTAAGAAGAATACTACAGCAAATGCTATAAAAATATAAATGAAAATGTCTTATTAATGGAGGTTCCTTAGGTTTATCCATCAACTCAAAAATCTCACATCAGCCAGAAGATGGAGAAAATCATCTAACACTGCAGAGACTTCCCTTCCTGCATTTAAAAAATTCAGTACTGGTAACTATAGTATGAAACTTGATGTCATGAAAAGATGCATTTGCTTCCAAAACAATACTTTGAGGCATAACATGTATGTTCAGCAAACCATTTTAAAGTTAAAGTATCAATGATTCAACGTAGCTTTCAGAGTTGAAAACAGAATAACCTTTTCTAAGATCCCAGAAGTATCTTAGGAAATAAACTAGTCAATTCAATATAAAATTGGAGTACTTTGAAACAAGATTTTTTTTTTTTTGCATTCAACGTATCATGAAACAACTATTCATTATATGTCCAACATAGCAGACTTGGACATGATCTAATGTACTTTTTAAAGATTTAATTTCAAGTAGTACTGTAAATGAGAGCCAGGTTGGTGTAGCGGTTACAGGCACCAGGCTAGAAACCAGGAGAGTGGGTAGTCTAGTCCTGCCTTAGGCCCAAAGCCACTGGGTGACTTTGGGCCAGTCACTCTCTCAGCCCCTGATGTCAGGCTCGGGCGACAAGCCAGTTAGTCAATTCCTTCTCAACCAACAGATAAACATTCGGTTGATCTGAAAAAAAGCGGACCCTGCACATGCAGGAAAAACGCTAGGAAGAAAAAATATATATATCAGAAAGTATGAAATGGTGTCATCAAGGCTGTTGTGGATACATGTGAAAGTAGAAATGCATACTGAGGATAGCTGTAATTTATGCTCCAGAGTATAGAGAAAATGGAAGAACTAGATTTGAGTAGGCTTGTTTTGAATATGTGCATTTAAGGACATGCCTATTCATTCAGACATATTCCCATGGAATATAAATCTAAAAGTATAATCATTAAGATGAAAGTTTGACAGAATCAGAGCTGGATACAAGGGTAACTTGAGGTTCTAAATGTGAGACAGGCCATTTCTGGGTACTATCAAGAATGGTTCTTTGAAAAAACATGGGCACAGAAGGAAAGGAAAGAAGTGAAAAAAACAAGGGAGAAAGTGTGATTCTTAATGAAAAAGTATTAAAATATAGATTAATTATTTGATATTTGAGGGAACTGCCTCTCCCCAGTTGCATCTACCTGTCCCATCAGGTCCACAAGAGAGGCATGTTGCGGGACTTGCTGACCAGGGAGTTTCATCAGGCAGGACCTAGGAGGAAAGCCTTTTCTGCTGTGGCCCCCACCCTGTGGAATATCATTTCCCCTGAGGTGAGGCTAGCCCCAACCCTGTTGGCCTTCCAGAAGGCCCCTAAAACATGGTTCTGTCAACTAGCTTGGGTTCCCATGGCAGAGTGTAGCCTGCTAGATGGCTGTATTAATGGAATACACTCTTTGATGTTTGTTGCCATTCTTTTTTTACTTGTTTTTACTTGTTTTATCTTGCTTTATTTTTAATTTAAATTGGTTGTTTTAATGGTTTTTTATGTATTTTGACTGTTTTATGATGTATGCCACCCAGAGTCACTATGTGAGATAAGCAGCTATACAAATGTGATTAAATAAATGAATAAATAAAATAATTACCTAACAGAATTAATATAAAGTGGAAGTAAAGGAAGAAGATGTGGAAGGTATGAAAAGATGCAGTGAACAGTGTTAACAATACTTCTTTTTCCTTTATCTCATGCTTTTAATTTCTTTGGCTTATTAGTTTTTACTCCTTTTCTGGACTCTGCATTCTTTTGTTTATCCCAGAGGGAAACAGTGTGAGGGATATATATGTATAATTTCCCCAAGAGGGTCAAAGAGCAGTGGGAGAGAAGCTAAATAAGAATACTTAAACCCTTCCTGCCCTAACCCGGCTTCCCTCAAAATTAACAATCCTGCTACTTTAAAATATAATTTACTAATCACTGATTACAAACACTCATATAGATTATTTAGGGCAATATAAAAGATGCTTCTCAGCATGACTCAAAATAAGATTTATGTATCTCTACTGTCATTAAACAGACATTACTATAATTATATAATTATAGAGATCTAAGTTGATGCAACAAACATACCTAATTTTTAAACATTTCAGAAGTTCTGTAAAAGTGAATGACATCTCATCCAGGTCAACTGCAGCCATAAAAATGCAGATCCCCCACAATTCCTTTTTTAGATGGCTCTCCTAGAAAAAAAAAGTTTGTTCATTTATATGTTGCATTATTTAGAGCTGTAACAAATAAACAATACCAGATCAAAATGTGCATTTTAATACGATTGTTTTATACAGAAATTTTTGCAAAGTTATATTTATATCGCTTATAATATCAAAATATTGTCTATTATTAGAAGATATTATTGAAGATGTATTAGAAGATATTCTGAGGGTAATAATATAGTTGCTGTTGCTGCATGTTTAGGAAACTCAAGATAGTTTTTAAGTTATTGTTATTTCAAATGTAAGAATAGCCCAACAAGTTTTATATATGTGTTGTTTGTATGTGATTATTGTACACCACCCAAAGTCACTTTTCATGAGATGGGCAGCCATATAAATTTGATTAATAAATAAATAAAATTAAAATTCTTAGGATTGTGCCTTTTAGGATCAATAGAATAGTGAAGGTTATTGCGCCAACAGAAAAGGGAGAGATGATATTAAAAATGGGGATTGTCTGTTTAAACCCTAACTATTATCCTGGAGGTTGAACACATACTATTGAGTAAGATTTTAAGACCGAAAACATTTGCCTGATACCACATCACCAGTATATACTACTTGAAAAGCCTTTCCTGGCTGATGTCTTCCCAATATATTGAAAATGCAAAGATCTGGCAGTGCCAGGTGGGTGAAAGCTGTACAACAGTCTCAGATTCAAGACCCAAAATCTCAATAATTTATCATTATTTCATAGGATTTGAAGAGTTTCAAAAAAACCAGAAAAATGAAAATATATATTTTATTCTTTAAAACCTTCCCTCCCAGTACAGC